AGGGGGAGCGTTCCCTTGGAGCCAGGAAGCCATGAGAACAAATCGATTTGTACTGGCAAATTCAGCTGAAATAATTATGTTTGCTCTATTTAATCAACTCTTCCGTAAACACCTGTCGGAATTGTTAATCAAGAAGATGGAAAATTACAGCGGTTAGATTTCAACAATTGTCAACATTATTCATCTTCAAATGAAACTCACAGTACAGCATTTTCACTTTCAGAATCTGTATTTTTTACTCGAAGTTTTGACATCGTATTAATTATGAACTTACTAATCATAAATAGTAATGCAAATGCAAGGGATTATACTTATTTTAATAAAGCAACTGGGTGAAGGGGCGTGAGGTTCTGATGAAAACTGATTGTGTGGGGGGATAATATCAAATATTATGTGAACTGCAGGTCTAAAAAATCTCCGACATTGCGCCATCACCAAAGTGTAATGTAGGTATAGTGTATTCCTAACATGGATCAGAATCAAAGTCTTAATACTGGAATACTGGCAGAATTTTCTTCTACAAGGTTGTTTATTGAGTGTATCAAATAGCCTCAAATATGTTCCAGACACCAAGTTAGCGTTATTTAGACAGATAAACTTGTACAGAAAGCGAATCGTAGGCTTATGATTCAGGGGCCAAAATAGTCAAGATTTACACATAAAGTGAACTATGTGTATGTTCACAAAACTGGGAACAAGGCATTTCAAACTTAATAAGGTTACCTAATGATACAGGACTAAGATTTATATGTTATTGACATCCTTTTCAATCTGTCCGATTTAAAATCCGAAGTTCTGAAAATTATATTGTCCTATACACTTACAAAAAGTCAAGTAGGATGAGGTGGGCAGGGCATGTAGCACGAAAAGGGGAGAAGAGGAATGCATATAAGATTTTGGCGAGAAAGCCAGAAGGAAGGAGACCACTGGAAAGGCCAAGGCGTAGGCGGGTGAACAATGTTAAAATGGATCTTAGAATTGTATGGATTGGATTGATCTGGCTAAGGATAGGGACCAGTGGAGTGCTCTTGTGAAAATGGTAATGAACCTTTGGGTTCCATAAAATTCTTGAGTAGCGGCAGATTTGGCTCCTTCTCAAGAAGGGCTCAGCTCGATAAGTAAGTAAGTAAGTAAGCAGGGCCGCGCCATAGCTCAAGCGGTTAGTCGCTGGCTTCCCATCGCGGCGGCCCGGGTTCGATCCCGGGTCTGGTCAAGTGGCATTTATGGTGGACAAAGTGGCGCTGGGGCGAGTTTTCTTTGAGTACTTCGGCTTCCTCTGCCAATCTTTATTCCACCAATTTCTCCATCATCATAATCACCCGGAGCAGGCTAATCCGTGGCCGCCGTGCCCAGTAGACCCAGTTGGACTCCACTCCCCACTGAGCGAATTAAAAAAAGTAAGTAAGCAAGTAAGTATACACTTGGCCACGCCATAGCTCAAGCGCTTAATCTATGGCTTCCCGTCGTGGCGGTCAGGGTTCGATCCCGGGTCTGGTCAAGTGGGATTTGTGGTGGGCAGGTTTTCTCCGGGTACTTCGATTTCCCCTGCCAATCTTCATTCCACCAATTGCTCCACAATCACCCTCACCTATCATCTGGGGCTGGTACAATAGGCCATAAGTGGCCGCAGTACAAGGGACTTAGTCCCACCCCACTAGCAATAAAAAGTATACACTTACAAGTTCGGTTGCGTAAAATATTTGAACCATAGACATGAGATACTTCTGGCAGAACTGAAGAACTGTATTTGATATGAATGAAACCAAGTGGTTTGATGTAACGGTAAAGCTGTAGATTCATAATGGGTAGGTACTCAGTTCGAATCTCCACCGGAAGACTGGCTATTCTCAGGTTTCTTGTGGTTTTCTTTAGTACCTCCAGGCGAATGTTTGGATAGGACCAGATTCCACCACGGCCACTTCCTTCTACATCCCTCCCAATTCGTTTATCATCTTGCCATTCGATATAGTCTAGCTACTGGGGCATCCTCAAATAAACCATTAAATAGGTCCAGAAAAGAACAGAGAAGCTAGACAAATAATAACATTAAATTCACCATTTCTGAACTTTAGTTTCAATAAAGTGACACATGTAAATATATCAATTCAGGATTCTGTTAGAACTAGTGCAAAAGAGGAAGTTCAGAATTGTGACAAATTAGCTCAGACAGAAGAAGTGTAAATGTAAAGCACAACACACAAATATGCGTAAATATTCTGTAATTAAAATAAACACATCACAAAAGACTTTTGGACTCACAACAGCAGGCCGTTACTAGGCAGCGACTCGTAAACAACAACAGAGGAATGGTGTTTTCTGAGCGGTCGTGTCGATGTCTGCGCAAGCAACAGTGGAATACGTCATGCCACCGCTAAGCAACAATTGCATTGCAACAGAAAACCCGTGTTTTCTAAGCGGTCCATGTCGAGATGTTTTAAGTTGTGCAGTTATTCAGTCAGTGAGTTAGTCAGAGACCCGCTGCAATTCAGTCCTTTTGAGCTTTTGCCGTTAGAAGCTGATAAGAGGCATGGGGACTGTTCGAGAACTCAGAGTAAGGGCAACGTCTGCAGTTAGAAGCCGTTACCAGACAGTGACAGGTGAAGACACAGTAGACTGAGAAGACTTAAGTGTGTGCTATAGTGAACTGTAAAGTGTGTGAATTAGTAAAAAGATTGTAATTACTTATAGTCACTGATCTCTAAAGAGTTCAATAATCCGATTATCGGTCGTCTACAGCATTAATGAAATCATCGTTGCAATCGATGGACGGAGAGACGAAGGCTGTGATAATTTTATTTTTAGTACAGGTCATATTATTCAAAATAAATAATAAGAGGAATGGTGAAATTAATTTCAGCGTTAATGGAAGTTTTCGATGAAGAGCTCTGCTTTGTCCGCCACAAATTCTTCATTGATCCATCGAGAATCCATAACGAGTGAGCTCTTTGGGTCGGAGGTCGATGTATGATGGCAGACAAAGTTGAAGGCTCTCGTGAGAATGGATTTTATTTGCTGTTCTCACAAGAAAGAAGAAACTTTCGGCCTTACGTTGCCTGTTCAAGGACTTAATTAATTAAGCACCACACCATCAATGCATATGAGGGAGTGAAGGTATATCTCCATTCATTCTTAACCTCGATACTAGATGGAATTTACGTAGTAATCAGCTTCACGAGCCGGCCGCTTTATTTCCGGGAAAAGGGCCTGCGGTATCCTCCTAATATAATCTAGATTTTGCCTGGATGCTGTGAGCTAAGATAGATCTGTTTTCCCATCCAGGAATCGATTCCTAATTCCTTGATTTTTTAGCCCGTAGCCTAATTACTGAACTAACTGGATTATCCTTGCGACAAGGTTATAAAATGAACTCCATGAAGCAGGTTCTTAGAGAAGCTAATAGTCGGTCAAGGGGTCATTACCAAACCCAAAAGTTCATTACCGTGTTCACAAGCGCCAGTCACTGGTGTCCACACACACTTACATCCTATTTCGGGACGCGCCATAGCTCAAGCGCTTAGTCGCTGACTTCCCATCGCGGCGGCCCGGGTTCGATCCGGGGTCTGGTCAAGTGGGATTTGTGGTGGACAAAGTGACGCTGGGGCAGGTTTTCTCCGAGTACTTCGGTTTCCCCTGCCAATATTCATTCCACCAATTGCTCCACAAACACCCTCACCTATCATCTGGGGCTGGTACAATAGTCCAGAAGTGGCCGCAGTACAAGGGACTTAGTCCCACCCCACTAGCAATAAAAAAATGATACAACCTATTTCGATAAAATTTGCTTTGAGAGTAACTGTACATCTTCCATATTGGTTCGTTGTGGGTAGTGATATTCGTGATTTTCCTTCGTCCCCCTATACAAGTGCCAGCATATATAGGTCACGATCGTCACCTGTACATTTGTGATCATTCCATCTTATCTGGCACTTATGACATCTGGATCTGAAACAGCGCTATGATATAGAATCCGACACGAAGAGCCATGCGCAGTAAATAGTTCGGATGTGGCCAGTAGATGGCAGAGCACTACAATAAGTATATTGCGATCGATTGCTATATCCACAGCCACCAGATGGCAGCTGCTGTTGGTTCTATTGAAGAGAAATGCAAACGAACGAATTTACCTGACAGCCCCATGAAACTAATTTATTGACTGCGTAAACTAACAAACTTGATTTAACAGTGCAAAAAAGATTATGTGCACTCCTTATTGAAGTTTTTGGACATTTATAAAAATATTTTTTACCACCACCAACAGCGATGGGATTGAGCAGTGACAGTTGCGCCCTCGACTCGTGTTCGAGTCGCTTTCGTTTCGAATCTCGGAAGGATACCACCTGTCCTGTATACGTCCTTATACAACGATACAGCGCACTCAGTCACAAGAGTAGAACACATCATAAGACATAATATACACACAACATTACAAACATAAGAAGAACGAACTCCATGTGGATGATCAATAATACACACGAATTAAAAATATGACATATGAGATAATAGGTTTTAACAAGATTTAAATACATAAACTTTATTATTATATAAGGACCTATACAAATTTAATATTATTTGTAAATGGATATATAAAGGCAAGCAGTGAAATGGTTGACGGATCGATACATCTGAAGATGGCAGCATACTGCCGAAATATTAAGTGTAGAAGTGGTAGATGGGATTGTATGCACTTGAAGACTGTTAATATATACACATTATGAACTTGTTTTAAAAACTGCAGGATCATCCAGATACAAACTGACTTCTAGTCAGATGTGTAGTAACAAGAAAATATAGGCGTCTGCTGAGTTCCGTAATAAATGTATATTTCTTTCATTCATTCATTCATTCAATCACATTCCTGTTGTTCCCTATGGTACATAGAGCATCCTTGAAACGTTTCATTTAATTTTAGTTTCTTAATCTTGTAGACAGTTGGTAGGACTCCTTGAATGGGGGTAAGCCAATAGCAGGCTGTTGATTTATTGATGTCAAAGACATAATACATTGTTTACAACAATACACTGGCCATGAAACAAATGAGAAAATAACAGCTTCTACATAAAGTTTTATTCATCAGAACTAATATTTGAATTAACTGGGATGGCAAGTGGTCATCCATGAAGAAAATGGCCATGTTCAACATAGCTTAACTAAAGCTGGAAAAGAGCTTTTGTTTTGTCAACCCATGGCCAAAATCTAGACCATGTAATTTATACACATCCACAAATTGTCGTTAAGGAAACAGGGTTCCAAATTGATTCAGCACAGGTTTAGGTCATCACATTGTATTCAGGCACTCTCACATTCAGAAACCAGGAATTACGCCCATACAAAACAAATAATACAACTGCATTTTTATACATATTATTCTTTAGGCTTTTAGATAGAATACATGAACATACACAAAGTCCATATTTCATTTATTTAATTCTTCATTCATAGTTCTTAGTCCTTTCTTCTTTCAGCATTTAGAGGTGAGCAAGTTTAATCACACTCCTCACGGTAAAACCACAGCAATGTCAAGATTTGACTCATAACATGGCTCTTCATTCTGCTATAAAACAACTGTGATACTGGGTCACATATATATACAATTTTCAAGTAGATTTATTCCTGCCCTTCAGCCTGTATGGGTTAGGCGGCCCTTACACCTACGAGTCTGGCTCGGATTAATTTCACCACACACGTATGAGCGTGGCAAACCACACATGGACGAGTTTGGCTCATTGGAACCTGAGCCGAGTCAGACTTGCGAGCCAGATTCGTACGCGAATGGGCCCCCTTAGACCCTCTTGTCTACTCCAGTTGAGAATTATCTTCTCAATTTATTAACCCTTCTTATGAATCAGCCTTTGTCCCAACCCTTTAAACTCTGTGGTCTGTAGTCCACAAGCCAACTCTACCGACCAAGCGACCGATCCTTGCTGGCGAAGTTAGTGCCAACTTTTGCAGATAGAGGATGTCATGTAGTCAGCAAACCGGTTTCCCATGGCCATTAATCTCGGGTTTCTAGAACGGTCCCAAAACTTTAAGGGACAGCAAGTGAATAGTGTAATCAATCTAGGTCCATATCATTCATGCAAAAGCATGCTTTCAATTTTAATTTAAAGTCAGCTACTAAACATTAATTTCACACTAAAGTTTTACACCTGCAGTATCATTCCATTGTGCGTCCATTCCACAGCTTCTATTCTGAATCAAATTTGAGGGCGGCATTTTTTGATTTGTTGCTTATCTGATTCAGAAACATTGAGAAGAAGTATATGTTTTGAATGATCTGTAACAAAACATTTATGTTACAAAAGTCTTACAAAATAAGGATATTATATCAGAATATATTAATAATATGAATGAAGATTAAAAGTTGCTGTAGTTGTAATGTGACATCATGTAGTCTGGTACCAATGCTTCAGAGGGACCTGCTGCCTCCATTATCAGGTCTTATATCCTGAACGTGCTCCTGAATGTTGTACCTTTGTACCAATCTATGCATCATCACATCTCAGAAGATCTTCATATTAAACACTGTGATAACCTCAAATTTTACATCGATGTAAACTGGTCATGTTAGCCAGCCAATGGATAAATGAAGTCAAAAATAATGTTGAGCCTCCAGTTTTATTTTGCACAACTTCAAAATTAAGCTATGCTGTATAAGATTTGAGGTTTACACTGCAGTGAATATTAATATAGTGGTCTTTTGAGTTATGACAACATGAAGTCCAATAGACATGTGTCAAAGTTGAGGAGGGTTATACTGTCTGCAACTTCAAAGTCCACTCCGAAGCAGTATGTTATGCTGGCACCCAGTCACCAGACACAGCACAGTGTAGTGAACCAGAATGCCACTGTATGAAGCTGTAGTGCATTCTCGATGTACGTCTCAGGAAGACACTTGACATCAATGATTCATATTGGTTTCAAACTTTTTAAAGAAGTAGCATGAAATATGATGGCCTCTCTTTGATACTCAAATGTTTTCTCATTTTCATCAACCAGCACTTCTAAAACTTTGTCCAAAAAACATATTATACCACATTCTATCCATACTTTTGCAGAAGTTAGAGCATTCTGTTAGAAAACCAAGCATTAGTAATATATCTACATATAAAACTGAAATATAAGTATTAATACTAGCTTATTTCAGTGGTTTTTGATAAAGAGCAAATTCATATAGCAAGTCAACACATTGAAGTGCCTTAGATTTTCAACTGACAAATGAAGGGGAGATAAATACTGATGCTAATATTTGTAACTTATAAAAACTAATATTCATTAACAGCACAAAGTTTCAGCCGCAGAGAGTCCAGAAACAGACTGGAATAAAAATTTATAATGTCTATTTTACTGATACATTTATGTAGAAATTAATGTTAGATAATCAAAGAAAAAGTTAAAGCCAGAATTATAGATACTGAAAGAAATTTAAAGGCTGAACAGCTGCACATAATTTGACAGAATGCAAAGAAAGATTTACAAAACAATTAAAAATCACATACTGCATGGATGAAGGAAATGAGGAACAGCTCTGAAGAGACCACATGACAGGTGAGGCCAGAACATTTATCAGGAAGTATTTATCTACATACCAGTTCACAGGACTGCAATGAGAGGCTGTAGTAATGACCCACTGTGATCTCAACAGGACGATGTGCCCTCATGATCACTAGAACCAGGTGCTTCTTGTACTTCTGTGAGTATGTGTACCATGGAGTTGCATATACAGCACGATCCACATCCCACCCCTAAAAACACATGATTAATTATCCTCTAATTAACACTGGACTCAAAGACATTCTGAAACCTGCATTCAGTGCCAAGGTTAAGGATGTATAAATCCTTACCTCTCCTGTTTATGTTCATTGTGCTTACTTACATTCAACTTTAACTTTTATTTTAAATTTATCTGAAATTCAGTCGAGTTATGGTAATTCTTTCAACATTATGTTCCAGAGTGACCTACACCACCGTTTTCCAAAGAGGGAGTTGCACCCCCCCCCCAGGAGCCATGAAATCTTATTTCTGGGTCCACCGGAGATGTTAATGATGTAATTAATGTATATTATATACTCTATTATATATATATGATATAATATATATTAATATATATTGTTGAGCTATAACAATGGAAACAGTGTTTTTTTATGTGATTCGTGTCAAAATGTTGTAAACAGAGTCAGTCGGGGCGCAGCCAATTACCTCTACCATAGCCCTATGAGTCGTAGGAGGTGATGAAAAGGGAACCCAGTGCCTGGGGGTATAACCGGCCACCTTGTTCCTGGGGGATATTAGTGCGGGGAACTGGCCCTCCAGGTTGGGGGAGTCTCAAATCTGAGACAGTAAATTGTGGTCATGAGTCCCGTGGGACTCGGATCTGAGAATGACTGTGCTGGCGAGGACCAGCAGCAATTGTAAACGACAGACCCATGCTCTCGTTAGAGAGGATGTTACATAAGGATTATAACCCCAAGTGTTCAGTTGGAAAATAAAATTGCTCTGGTCGTAATTCTCATAGAGCATGTCGCTAAAACGAAATGATTGGCGACAAACCGCCATTCGTAAAGTAACTCCGATGCTGTCTCTGCCCCAGAAGAGACAGCTGGCAGGCAGTTTTATACAGGAGTCGGTGAAGGACGGACCTGAGCATGGGAATCTGAGGAACCTCCACTGTTAGAAGCCGTTACCAGGGAATGGCTGGCAAAAACATAGAAGGTTGGAAAAGGTTTAGTGGGTGTTGTGGTGATTTGTGAATTGTGGAGATTATCGGCGACGCCCTAATTACCTGTATTTTCGAGTCGTGTGGTGTAAGTGGTCAGTAAATCCAGTCACCAATCCAAACTCCGTCTATAGTCACACACCCCTGATACATGCCAATATTTAAGGTCCATTAATAATTATATTTTAAATTGCTAATTCACGTTTCACGTTAACCTATACAGGTACGGCGATTCACTTAAGTTTAATCACATGAAGGGAAGCTCACACTAACGGAGTTTTGGGAACCCCCTGTCTCGGTCTGCACTTGACACTACTTCATTATTTACTGTCTTGAGGTACTGAATCCTTTGGTGTTCCTGATGAAATTTTAAGGGCTCTGATTGTACGTCATTTTTTAACAACTGCCATCCAATATGAATCAATAGCAAAACTAAAGGAAGAAAACAGTCTTCTAGGATTTTATACCATGTAGGTTGGTAGATAGGTAGAGACATTGCGATGGAACCTATTGTCTTCATCTTGAGGTTCTAAAATGGAGGTGCTGGTTCCTCAAGGGCTCTGGTACACATTTACCACACCACTTGGTGTCACAACCCATAAGAATGCAACCTTGATACTCACTGCAGTGATAACCTGAAATCTCGACTTAAAATATTTAATCAAACGATAGATTCCTTTCATCATCATCTTCATGGATTAGAACATGCTTGGTCAGTTCTGTCCTCTTGAAGATTATGCTGGTCCCTCCAGCCATGGGTGCCATATTTTTCATTGTTCAGATTTTTGTCCAGTTAAGAACTAGTGACTGTTGGTAACGGAAATTTGGCTTACCCCTTGCAGCACTTGTTCTCCAAAAGAGCAGTACATCAGTATCTGTGAAAGTATTAGGAGAAGTGTAATAAAGTGCCTCGTGCACTGTTCCCATTCATCCAAAGTCTGAAACAATCAATTATGAAAGTTTTGAGGTTTTCACGGCGATGACTATGAAGAAAGTCGTCTTCAGGGATCTGGCGCCGTGTATTCTTGGTTTTAACCGATGTTTCGGAGGAACATATCGCCTCCATCTTCAGGGTAGTTGAATTGCGTGCGAATACAGATGAAAGCGATATGTTCCTCGGAAACGTCGGTTAAAACCAATAATACACGGCGCCAGATCCTAGAAGACGACTTTCTTCAATCAATTATGAACTTAGTAAAATATTACTTAGTAGTTAATATTTTATCAGGTTTACTGTAAAATATATTGGTGAGATCTGAGGTTTTCATGACACTAATACTCATCGGAATGTGACACCTTTTGTGATGTAGTACACACCGTTTCAGAAGAACCTGCTGTCTCCTTTGAGAATTATTTCCAAAATATTAGAAATAATTTCAGGCATTTCCTTCTGGATTCAGATTGGTCTAAAAGTGCTGACCGTTCCATCTTAAGAGAAGAAGTGTTAGAAAAGTATGCTGAAGGAACATCAGTACCAGGAGCTATAACAATGAACGCGATATATTATTTTTAGTTAAACTTTGAATATAAATTGACGTATGGACGATTCTGCAGGCAGGGCCAGATATACAGCTGTGGGTACCCCGAGGCAATCAAAATGTGGAGGCCTCTTATCAGCAACAACTAATTTATTATGAAAATTATTTTTGGTACATGTAGTTATTATGGGGCACGCGGTAGCGTAGTTGATTGAAGCACTATGCTACAAGCCGGATGGTCGCGGGTTCGAATCCCGATGAGGTGGATTTTTTCAATTTACCTAATCCTTCCAGCCGCAATATGGCCCTGGGTTCGACTCAGCCTCTAAGAGAAATGAGTACCAGGAATATTCTTGGGGGTAAAGGGCGAACGGCGCGTAAGGCTGACAACCTTACCGCCTTCTATGAGCCGATTGTCTAAAAAATGTGGGAACCTCAACATCTCACAACCCTATGGGCCTCCACGGCCTGTTACAGGGATATCTTTACTTTTACTTTACTTTTTATTCTTATTTCTCACCCTACATTAAAAAGGAAAGAATAACTTCCTCTGAATCATTGATACTCATGTACTAGAAATCTTGATTCATAACACAGAAAACCACGAGAATTTCTACCTTGAAAACAGAGGCAATATATTCCTCCGAATAATTGGTACTCATCTACCAGTCTGCGTGGTGTCATAACTCATAATAGCACAATTCTTTTTCTCCGCCATATTGAAAACTTCAAATCTCACAAGTTTAACTTTGGATGAACAAAGCAGTTGGCTGAGTACTCACGACTATGATCTGAAACACCTCGCCAATTGCAACCATTTGAAATGCAAACAGTCGAACGGCGAGCCAGGAACTTACTAAGTGATCCAACGCCTCGACAAACCTAGAATGGGAATACGTTACTTTCAGTTAAAAAGAAGCATGTGTACACCATTTATATTGAAGGGTCTTGAGGATATATTTTGCCATTTTGTTTATACTATACATACCTGCTCTCAATAAAATTAAAGTTATACATTTGTAGAATAATTAGTATATAAAAGAAGCTGTAGAATACTACACAATTTGGAATTTCACAATTTTCACTGTACAACAAAGTCCATTAGGTTGAACAAATCAAGGAAAATGGGATGAAGGAAGCAAATGACATGAATGGGAGAAGTGATAAATGCTTACAATTTCGTATAATATTCGAAGGAAAGAGACACTTAAAAATATAGGCAGGGATGGGAAGATCTTAATGCGGATCTTAAATATATATAAAGTTAGGATGTGGATTGAATTTATCTGGTTCGGGATCGTTACTATTGGCGTGCTCTTGTGATCACGATAATGAACTTCTTGTTCCGTAAAAGAGGGAGCACTTGACTGCATGAGCAACAGTATACTCTTTATGGTCTATGCCCTTAGCTAGATTTACAGTCGTGAGGGAGGAGGAAGATAGTATGTCGGGGCCTCTGAATAACAAATTTTGGTTACTAATATTGTTTCCTTTTCCTGTTTTTTATTTAGTATAATAACTAAAAATAAAAAATAACTTTACGTAATTTTAAAGAAGCAAATGTCTCCATAAAACCAGTGAATTATATTTCTGCTTTGTGAAGACGCCGGGACGACCGCCCTGGTACTTCGCCCCTTAAATTCAGCCCTGACTCTGCCCCCATAACTAGCTAACTTCATGGCGCTGAACTCTTCTTGAGAAGCCGCCAGTTGTGTAGCTTCTCAAGAATGTCTCAGCATTTTACGGAACCCGAAGGTTTATTACGGTGTTTACAAGACCCCTCCACTGGTCTCTATCCTGAACCAGATCAATTTAGTCCATACCATCCCATCCTATCGCTTCAAGATCCATTTTAAAATAATCCACCCACCTAGGTCTTGGTCTTCCTCATGGTCACTTTCCTTAATGTTTCCCACCAATATCCCATATGCATTCATCTTCTCCCATTCCTGCTACATACCTTGCCCATCTCATCCTCCTTGACTTGATCATCCTAATTATACTTGGCGAACAGTACAAGTTATGAGCTCCTCGTTGTACAGTTTACTCCAACTTCCCGTCACGTTATCTATCTTCGGTCCAAATATTCTCCTCAGCACCCTGTCTCAAACACCCTCAGTCTATGTTCCTCCTTTAATGTCAGAGACCAATTTTCACACTCATGCAGAACCACAGGCAAAATTATAATTTTATATTTTTTTAATTTTTATGGTTTTAGACAGTAGATTAGAAGATAAAAAGTACTGTTCTGAATGGTAACAAACATGACCCTGCCCCTTTGGGGTGGTTAACAGAATCAAATTTCATAAATAATGATTACTCACTCTATGCCTGCTTGGTGTTGCTTGATACATTTCACTAGGTACAAAAACGGTTCGTCTTCCTCGGGTTCATCAGAAACTAGGTCATCATTCCTGACTTCAAGTAACGTATCTATCCTTTCATTTACATCGCCGGACAGGTCATTGTCAACGTCTCCCTCTGTCGGATACATACTTGAACTCCCATTAAGAGTACCTTCAACGCCAGAAAGTCCAGTTTCTTCTATACTGTCAGTTGATGGCATGTTTTCTGCAGTCGTAGGTTCAGATAGTTCATCATCATTACCTTCAGAGTTCGCTGCAGCTTTCAATCTTTCTGGATGTAACTCTTCTTCCATACACTCGATAGTACTTTCCGCAATCTCCAGTTTCCCCCATGCATGTACCATGAATGTTATAAAAGTTGAATTGGCGCATATATTATGGCAAGCAGCCATTACGAGCAAAACCGATTGAAACATGTACACGACTTCAAACAGTGGAGACCACGTTGCGTCAAATGGAAACCAGATGATAAAAACAAAATCAGCATCTGGTTTATCGTCAATTGCTGCGGTTTTGTTTCTTAAAAAATGGCGCTCCACTATAAGATCCTTAACAGGGTTAAATATGAGCCATTTAACAGCCCCTAGTGCAGCCAACCCCCAGAAGCATCTCATCACAATTCTGATTTCACGCCTGCATCCATCCACAACATTCAAATACTTCTTGACCAAATGCGGTGTGTCCACCTTCGGGTATGGATTTCCTTCCAGGAGCTCACATACATGAAGTACCCCTTTTTCGTGTTCTATGATATAAAGATAATCAAAGAAACAAGCGACGAAAGCAAAGAACGTACCAGCACAGTCCGTGACTGTATCAACATCCCCCCAAAAGTGGTAAATAGCCAACATCTGGCCAACCATGACAGGTACATAAACACACAAGATAATATTCTGATACCATCTGAACAATTTCAACCTCCAGCGATTAGAAACGATTGCTTGGCTCGGTATCAAGCCGGTAAAGCAGAGTTCTAGGCGTACCACATCCATCAAGCCAAGTTTTTCATTATCCATCTCTTGAATATCGGATATCTGTAATGGATCATTTTCAAAGAAGGATTCCAACATCTTGAAAGAATAAAAGAGTTCAACTGAAAAACAATCTTGTTTCTATGGAACCAATGTAGTCCCAAGTGAAGTCCTGTCTCTTAACGCGTCCAGACGAAACTGGGTTTCCAAATTTCTGCTTTCCTACCAGAAGAAATTATATCAATGAGTTAATATTCGTAGTTCGATAGGAAGCTAGGTCTTGCAATGCGTTCAGAACAACCAGTTCCTCTGCTCTCCCTAAAAGAACTGACGTCAAAAATTCAAGCTGTTCGCTTCACAGGAAATTTAGCCTACTTACTGCTCCACTTTTGACGAAAACAAAAAGAAACCTAAAGAAAACCAATTTAAATATTCTCTTTCCATTCACATGCACGAAAAATTAAATTGTATTCCTACAAATTATGCCTGAATAAAAGATTAGAGACATATTTCTGCTTCTTCTTCTTCTCCTTCTTCTTCTTTCCAACAAGTGATTGGACCATCTGGATGTTATTCGAAGCTCTGGTTTCATTGCACAATCTTCCCCTTCTTCTTTCACTTTACTGAGGTAATCTTGCTCTGTCAGATCCCACCAAATTTATACACCAAATCAACGCATAATTCTTCAATGTCATCATATACACGTACATTAGTAATTGCCATCTGTTCCCTGACTGTTTTATCAGATACTCAGTTCATTGTTCTGCTGAATGTCATGTGTGGAGATTCCTGTTTTCCTTCATCCTTTGTCCTTATAGGTACAGGCGTCGGGAACAAAAGGCATCATATTGGCTGCTATCCTGCAGAGTTCCAGTTGCACGTGCCGCGACACGCGTTTACAAAATGTCTTCTCATAATGTCGTTTATTCGTTTTATATTTCAACTCATTTCAGTAGTGTAAATTGTGTTGTGCAGATATTCGAAAATAACCCAATAATTTGCTTAATAATTTTAATAATTTATTACAGTCTTAAATTCTGTGGAGAGGAAAATCTTGAGGAAAATGGAACAAAATTAAATAAGAGACTAGAAGGAAATAGAAAATCTTCTAGTTTCGGAGCTGCGAACTACGTAATAAAACACTCTGTGCGCAATTCACCAATATAAGCATAATTAATGTTAATCTAAAAGAAAAGCAACTAATATTTACAAAACAAAGAAACACATATATGAAAATATTTACTGTGCAATTAACAGACGCTTACAACAGAGGGGATTATAAATAACGTGTTAATTTCCATGCTCAACTATGTATTGCAACAAGCTGAAACATTCTACATGCACCTTCTGAGGAAGTACGAACAAAAAGTGTTTATGTGATTGGATAAGCTTCCTTTTTAATTATATAAATTGTATATTCCTGTTCGCCGACAAGCGGCGGGCTCTGGGCCAGTATAGTTCGCTTGCGGACTACAAGCCACGGAGTTTGTTTATTTTTATATTCCTGTAGACTTTCATATTCTGGTGGAAGAATGCGTCTCTTAATTATTATGGAGAATGTAAAACTCCTGTCGTCCGCCTGAGTATGCGGACATTTAGGCCTGGCATTTTCTTGTTTAATTACTTCTAAAACAGAAAGACTTAACAGAAAAAGTGTCTGAACATAAAATGTGCATTGCTTTTCTCCCTGCAGCTTCTGCCCCAGACATTTTTCTATCCGATAAATATTTAAGGAATTATCTTCGAAATATGCATACAAATTCACTGGGTCTCCGTGGTACTCATCCGTCTTGCTAGTCCACTCTTGACCAAAATTGGAATATGTTGATAAGTATTACTAAAACTTCCCAAATGCAAATTTCACAAAAAATCACTTGTGTAGATTTCACGTTGTTTAGTTTGTACAGACAGACAGAGCAGTATTAAAAGGAGCAACGCAGAATTGCGAATGTTCCTTAAAAAGAGCCGCTTTTATACCATTTCTTGTATATTCCCGTTTCAAGCCACAGACTGGATTTTCCCTGATCATAGTTCATTTGTAATTCTAGAATTTTAAGTTTATAAATATACAGTGGCCACCTGGCATGAAACATGAAATGTCTTCACCCTCTCGAACCTAGGATAGTGGGTTCGAGTCTCACTCGAGGCATGGATGTATGTTCTATTTTCTTCTGTCTTTGTGTTGTCTTACGTAGGTAGGGGCCTTGAGGCGGACTGATCCCCCGTCCAAGGAGTCCTACCGACTCTACAAGATTCGTAATTTCAGAATTTCATATTAATTCTGATTGGAAGGAGGCAAGAAGACATAATCTCTCACAGGAACAAGAAGAGAAAAAAAAACATTCTAGAATAAATATTCTATAAAAATATTGAAGCTCTGAACTTAATAAAATACGTCTCCGTTTACTTTCATCTTTAGGTTTCTTCAGGAGTGTGGCTACCGCAAGGCAAATATCCTTTGTTTACTTCGTGCCACATGAATGCTCGTTTTTCCTTTGACCTCAGAAATCATGTTTTCTTTCATATTAAATCCACAGAAAAGCTT